TAACCAAAAGGACAGGTTCTCGTCAAGACTTTGATGAAATGCGCCCTATGAAAACGACAAATTTTTCAAAACTCACCACTATGCGCCACCAGAGCCACATCATCGCCTTTTTCATGCTTAATTTGTCCTTCTTCCTCTTCTCCGTCTGAGTCTGTCAGCTCCCCGTCTTCTGCAGCTCTTGTGGCTCGATACCGTCGAAGAGGTTTCGTCATTCCAATCATCATCTATACAGATATGGAATGAATTACGAGAAAAGAAGATCGACATAGTTTATGCCCGTTAGCTTTTCTAGAGAAGCTGAGCAAAATTCGCTTTGTTCCCAGCAACTCCTGCCTTCTACGCACTTTCTATAGTGAAGAATGTATCAAGAAAGATTGCTCACTCTGACGCAGTCAGCTCGACTTGCGAAACTAATGAGGGCCGAAGATTTGTCCAGGATTTCTACTCGGCATGGATGATATTCGGCAAAAATTCTGCAAAGGAATCATCAGCATGGGTGACACTAAACTTGCAAAGCATTTCGGAGTTCATACTGTTCGATCAGTATACTGTTTTCGACTAAGTGTCAACCTTTTGCTGTTAAAAATCGTCATTATTTGCAAACCCAGGTTCTAAACGTCGTGATGTGAAATTCAGGTCAATCGGGATTCAAAAGGAACATGGCGTACGACACAATTTTTCCCCTATTCTTATAGAGGAGGGGTACCAAATTGTTCTAGCTAATGCATATTACAAGAAGTGTCATCAACAGATTCCAAATCTGCTCATTCTGCGGAACAACTCTGTGAAAAAAGTTATGAGCGTTTGAACACTAGTCAAACCTCAAGTGGCATAAAATTAGAAAAAAAATGTGCAAAAACTGTATTTCTATCGGCTGTATTCCTATCTGGGCAATATACTTGGTATAAGACTGATTTCCTTTCCGGTGTTTTGATGCAGCCTTTTGCTGTTTTATGCCACTTTAAACTTGACAATATTGGACTTCCAAACGCTTATAACTTCCTTCAAGGAGTTGTTCCGCAGAGAAGGAAAGCGGATTTGAAATTAGCGTCCATAAACGTATCTAGTCATATACGTCTCTTTCCGGTTTGCCAGATCAAGTTGATATCCTCCTAGACTTTTCCTCAGTGCATGTAATTCACTAACCAATCCTCCCATTTCCAAATACAAGGAGACTGATCTTTGATTGAAGTTGCGTTCGCGAAAAAAAAATCATTCCCTC